GCTCGAGTTTCTTGAAAAACATTTTTCATTCAGTTAATTCTGCTTAAAACAGTAATACAAGTACATTATGTAAAATTGGAAAGACAAAGGAAAGGAAGAAAATTGAAATCATCACTAATACTATTGCATTGAGCAGCAACTGTTAATGCTGCTTATACTGTTCTATGATATACAGAATTGATTTTTTTCCCCTAAGAATTGGGATTATGTTGTATAAGTATGATTTTGTTTGTTTGTTTCATCTTTCCAATTATAAGCCTTCAAAAAAAAATCTCAGATTGGGCTGATAAAATTTCAAGGACTAAAAAATAAAGCATAATTAATGCAACTATTTGGCATATGGGACACACCCATTGTTACAGAGACTATCCTTCTAAGTAGGATAGTCTCTACAAAAAATTATCCCTCAAAAAATGAATTTTATTGAGGAATAATTTATATAGAATATAACTTACCTATTTAAAGCAGAAATTTGAGGAGTTTTGACAAATGTGCAGGCACGTAACTACCATCCTAATCAGGATGAGAGCCTTTCTACCACCACAAACAAGTGTCCTTGTGTCCATATGCAGTCAATTTCTTTCTACCATCCCCAACCCCTAGAAATCACTGGTATGCATTTTGTCACTAGAGCGTTTCTCATCTTAAATTTCAGATAAATGAATTCATACTGTAAATAGTGTTTTGTGCTTGGGCTTTTTCACTTAGCATAATGTTTTGGAAATTCATTCATGTTGTGGACTGAATGTACCATAGTTTGTTTATCTATTGATCATTTGAGGGGAATTCAACTTGTTTCTACTTTTTGGCTGTTATGAATAAATATGCTATGGACATTCATGTACGAGTCTTTGTGTGGCCATATGTCTACATTTATCTTGTGCAGCTATGCATGTGATTCCTAGGTGTTTTACATGTATCTTTAATTCTGTAAGGAACTCCCAAACTGTTTTCCACAGTGGCTGTACCATTTTGCACTCCCACTGACAACGTGTGGGTCTTTTAGATGCTTCACATCCTCACCAAAACTTGTTATTGGTAATTTTTAAAATTTTAGCCAATCCAGTGGGAAGGCAGTGCCATCTTCCTGTGGCTTTAATTGGTATTTCTTGAATGAGTAATGATATTGAGCATCATTTCATGTGCTTGTCTGTCATTTGTGTATCTTCTTTGATAAAACATCCTTCAAATTTTTGACCATCTTTTATTATGTTGCATCTTCTCAGTGACCTGTTAATTTTTTTTATATACTAGGTAAAAATACTTTATCATATATCTATATTTCAAATATTCTGTACTGCTTAGGAAAACCATGAACAATCCTAAATTCTAACTGCTTCTCACCCAAAGCATGCAACTTAGCATCATCTGTTTGAGAAGTAGCTCATTATCAAATAAAATGTCATGAGTTAGTGTGACTTCTGTTACAGTACTTATATGTGAATCCACCTTTTGCAGTCTCTTTCCATGGCATCTGAATATTCCTGTCACATCTTTTCCAATCCATAGTCACATAGGCCTCTTTTACCTCCCTCTGTTGCTAATAAATAGCTAACTCAGTGACATGCTTAATGGGGAATAAATGGCTAACTCAGTGACATGCTTAATATGACACCCACACATTTAATTCTGTGAGTGCATGTCTTTTAATTTGAGGAAACTGTCAAGCCATTTTTACAGGTGCAGTGATAGTAACTACAAAGACAAAAACACTATTTTGTTTACATAAATCTTTTTTCCTGTTTCCAAATTCATTAATAATTATCTTCCCCTACTTTGCCTTAATTTTCCTTTCCTTTGTCTTTTGTGACTTCTTGAAGATTTATTAACTTTTCATTTTTAATCATGAAAACATTTAAAATTATATACTTACTTTTGCCATCAGTTTTTAGTTTATTTTTCATTATGGTGAAAAAATATTCTTCATATTTTCTTGTCTGGGGGTAAAAGAAGCAGTTTTTGATGTTTTTATTTTGACCTTATATACAATTAATGTTTGACAACATTCAAATAATACTTGAAAAGGAGATGGATTCCAAATATTTATAAGATACAATTTTCCACATAAGTATGTGTATTAGTTAGGTTCTCAAGAAAAAAAGAACCAATAGGATATATATATATACATATACACATATATATATGTGTGTGTGTGTGTGTGTGTGTATGTATGAGTATATATATATATATAGAGAGAGAGAGAGAGAGAGAGAGAAAGACGGAGAGAGAGAGATCGAAGAGGAGATTTATTATAAGAATTGACTAATGCAGTTACAGAGGCTGAGAAGTCCCATAATCTGCCATCTAGAAGCTCAAAAGCCAGTGGTGTGATTCTGCCAAAGCCTAAAGGGCTGAGAATGGGGTGTGGGAGGAGGGGAGGCAATAGTGGTGTCAGCTAGGGTCTGACTCTAAGAAACAGGAGTGCTGGTGTCCAAGAGCAGACGATGGATGTTTGAGCTCAAGCAGAGCAGGCAAATTTGCCCTTTCTCCACTTTTAGTTCTATTCAGGCCCTCAATGCATTAAATAACACCTACCCACATAGGGGCGGGTCATCTGCTTTACTCAGTTCACTAATTTGACTGTTGGTTTCTTCTGGAAACACCCTCCCAGACACACCCGGAAGTAATGGTTTAGCGACTCTCTGGGCATTTCTTAGCCCAGTCAAGTTGATATATAAAATTAACCATTGCTGTATGCTTCCATTTATTAATAGAATTAACTATTAAATTAAAATATAAATTTTACATTAAACACGAATTTAAATTCTAGTTATTCAGATACTTTATTCATTTTATGTACTTTAATTGAAGCTTAAAACAAATAGAGACAAGTGCATAAATAGTATACACAAATATGCGTAAATATAGTGCATAAATATAAATAGTATAATAGTATGATAATAGAATTATCATAATTAGAACACAACAATATAACCCCATCCAGGTCAAGAAATTGCTCCCTGTGTCTTTCTATCTACTCAACCTGTCAGACACTGAGCAATGTGTGAAATTATTTTTCCCCAATCATTGTTCAAAATGGAGACCCCCAGGATCCTCTCAGAAGCTGCAATTCAGAATCTTGGTGGTGGGTCACAGAATCTGGAAAATTCTGAGGCATCTTATCAAGTGACAGAATTTGGGAGCAGATGTTTTCCTTCTTGAATTTTAACTGCTTTGAGTTATCTTAATTATGCATAGTTTACTGAAACTACATTTCTTCATATGATTTATGTTACTGCTACTGCTGTCCTAGTTTGAGGCTCATTGTGTTTTGCCCATAATAGAATGTTCCACTCATCCTTAAAACTTCCCATCCAACACTATCTTTTCCATTCCCCAGTGAGAATTGTAATGACACTTCCGTTGCTGCTGTCAAATGTCGTACAATTTCTAACTTTTCATCTGCCTTGTCCTAGCTGGGGCTACCTAACTGTCACCTGCAGCTTCAATTCCATTCAAGTTTCTTAGACCTATTTTAACCTGTTGAGAAAGAATTTCAGAGAGTCTGATCTAGGCTTGTGGAACTCAAACACTGTTATTATAATCCAATATCACTTTTTCACCCAGTACTGAAAACTAGATTTTAGTCTTATTTCTGGGAAACTTAGTCTTTGTTTATGGAAATTAGGTTCTAGACTTGTCGCTAATACACAGGGTCTTGTTACCTGTCTCTACCTATAGGATCACTCCTTGCTGTTGCCAGGCTCACCTTCCACTTAAAAAAAGGTCCTGGAGGCTCATCCCTAAATGCTGTCTGACAGGCTGGGTCTCTAGTTTGAAAACATCTCTCAGATAGTGCCTTCTTGGCTTTCCAGGCATTGGCTTTCTGAGGATTGGATCCCACAACTGTAGCCAGCTGTTGCTAGTCCTGCAGCTGCACCCTGGGTTGCTCCTTTGGTTTAAAGTAGTATCCTTCCAGAGCCTTACTGAGCATTGAGCTGTATTTTACAGCACCACACAGATTTTTTTTTTTTTAATCAATGCAATTAATGTAACACTAAATGGAAATTATGTGAAAGCTTTATTTTGCTTGGAAGAGTCAAAGTGGTGAGCTATCTGAAGACATGCACTTCATGCCATGGTTCATGATGTCAACTGTTTTTTTAAAAAAATTTCTGTCATTTATTCACACATCTATTTTTAAGAAGAAAAGTTGAGTGCATAAAGAATTTACAAAAACAAAGTATTTAAAAGGTAATGGCTTCAAAATAAGGGATTTTTTTTTTTTACTGAAACACTATTAGCCCTTTGCACTCGCTTGCTTTTTTCTTGATTCCTTTATTCTACTCGGGATTTAATTTTTTAAATACCCCAGATTTTACAAAGTGCAACAGTATAATAATAATAAAGTGGAGTTTTTTTTCATACAAACTTATTATTTGGATTTTTTTATATTTCAAATTATTGATACATTCAAAGAGTAATTTTAATCTCTATAATTTTTGCTAACCGTGTCGAGTCACACTCGACATCCGAGTGCAAAGGGTTAGTCATATACACACTTTCAGCTTTAAATTCTTAAAAAATATCTGTATTTAACACATATAAGGTAGGATAATAGAGAAATTTAAAAATATATCAGAATGTTGTATTCTTCCTTAAGCACAAGCCTTGACAGAGCATGTGTTGGGTTATACATTTTATTTTCAAAAATCTGCCCCTGCTAAATAAAATAGAAAAGCATATTAAAGATGAAACTTTAATATGTTGTACATTACAAATGACATGACCATTATTAAGATACTCCAACTGCAAAGAAAGAAAAGGTATGAGTTTCTCTTTCCTTATTTTAATGCCTCATAGGTAAAGTTATTCACAATAAAATAAACTTAAGGACACGCTAGATAATAACCAGACCCCCACAATCCAGCCCATCCCTAATTATTATGTGTATAAAGCACACCTCTTTTCAGACTTCCCACTAAGGAAAAAGAGATATTTTTCAGGTAGTAAACAAAAAGTGAATTTCTGTTCCTCCCTGTTTTTTCCCTGCCCTATTGCCTTATAGTCTCAGTAACCATAAGTGTTGCAGCCAGCTCAGTCTTCACCAGAACAGATGACCAAAGAGGCCATTGGCAGTGATCTGAGTGATGCCCCTTTCCTAAAATAGCTTTCTCATTGTGCAGGCACCAGGTTTCCACCATTAGAGATGAATTCCTTTGGATAAAGCATTATATTTCCAGGAATAATGGATAATAATTACATTTTCAAAGTTTTATTTATTGAGGTTCTAAAATATGAGACAGAGCAACTTTAAATTGGCAGAGAAATACAACTGAGGTATAAAGGAAATGATCTAGAAAATATTCTATTGAGAAGGGCTACCAAGAGCCAGAAAGAACATGCAGGCAGCAGACTCAAGAGGACAAAAGGGTCTCTTTCTTCTATTCTTTCTTTTCTTGCCCCATTCAGTTGGCTGAGGGGCTCCCAAAACCATTCAGTCACTCCAGCACATTCACATTTTGCTGTGTGATAGCCAGGAACTTCTGTAATGATAACTCTTTTGCTTTTTTCTCCATCTTTAAGCAAAAGTCTAGAGAATACAAAGAAAATCTTATTAATTAAATTTTGTGGCTTGACATCTTAAAGTACACTAATAGAAAATAATTTGGAATTCACAGCTTTTTTATTTTATTTTTTTTGAAAAAAAGCAGTAGAGAGGGGAAAGAGATCTTTACCAAGCACACATCGAGCACATGTCTTCATATCATTATAATAGCTGATTCTTTGCAGAATATGCTTTCTAAATTTTCATTTGTTTTTAAGTACTTTTAAGGAAATATCTTTTCAGAGTCCATATTGAACAATTATGTTATATTTTACAACACCTAGCACACTTTTGTATCTCAGAAAAAACATGATTAATGCAACACTAAATGGCAATAATTAAGCACTAAATAAAAATTATAGGAAAGGCTTATTTTGTCCTGAAGTGTCAAAGCTGTGAGCTATTTGAGAGCAGGCATGTATTTAATGCCATAATTAATGCCATGTATGATTTTGAGTGCTTTACAATTTATAATCACCACAATGACCAGTGAGGCAAGGTACTATCATTAATACTATCTCCATTTTACATACAGGGAAACAGAAGGGATGAGTTATTCACTGAGAGTCCTAGAGCTGGGGTTTGAACACAGGGAGTCCAGAATCACAATCAAGAGCAGTATTTTATGCAACCACTTTGTGACAATCTTGCGACCCAGGAGACATGACTATTTGGGGATCATTCTTAATTCATAATAACCTTCCTGTAAAGTGAATAGAAATGTACTCTTTTATCCAACTCTATAGGGAAAGGAGAAAGGTAAGAAATATGGACTGGAGACTATATATATGTTGGTTAGATTAGGGGTGGGCCAAATGGCAGAGTCAAGGATGTTATTTGGAGACCTCCATAACCATTTAAAATGTAGCTATTTAAAAATGTAAAAGCCATTCTTGGCTTGTGGACCATACATAAACTGGCAATGGACCAGATGTGGCCTGTGGTCTGTAGTTTGCTGACCTTTGTATTGTATGAATGAATTAGCTCGATGCCTGGCATATAATGAGTATTATCTTATATGACTGCCATTATTACTTAGGATTGTGCACTCAGGTAGAGCAAATCTTAAAAGCTAATTCAGAGGCTGGTTAAATTATGTATGTAAAATTGATAAAGAGAAATTTTTTATTTTCTTAGCAGTAGAACCTTCTTCTAGTCTCATATTCCCTCTCTGCTATGAAGGGATTTTTTTCTTTGAATGAAGGACTTTGATGAGGTCTGAGACAGAAAGCCCCAAGAGGCAGTCTTAAGAAACAATAGATGACATGCCTTTTAAGGTGGAAAGGAAGAGCTAACTTCTGATTTCCTTTCTTTTCCTTTTTATTTTTATTTATTTATTTATTTTTTAACCTGTTGGGGTTTGCAAGCTGAGCGTCAAAGCAGAATTGCTCAGGGCAACAGAAGCAATTATATGAGTTTTGTGTGTGTTGGGAAGATGGGTGTTGAGTTAAGGAGGCAAGAAACTTGGATCGGAAAGGGGCCTTGAAGAAAGAACAAATATGGTTTAAAGAAAATTTTGAGAACATTACAGTGAAAAATATTTCCTGTTTTTCCACATATTTATGTTATTTGCTAATGTTCTGTTGAACTGGGTCTCTTTTAGGATGAGGTTTTAGGGAATATGAGAAGAATCTCATTTTGGACACAGGGCAGAACCACTGTCAATAATGGAGGATGTTCACCTGTCTGGGTTTCATGCTGCTTAGTTGATTGATTGAAAGCCCAGCTTAGGAGTCAGGCAGAACTGGTTCTAATCTTAAATTCCATTTATTTTTATTAGCAGTACAAGTTGGGAATAATACTTGACTTATATCAGCATTAATAGCTTTGTCTGTAAAATAAATAAAACATATTATTTTGCTCAAGGAAAAAATGAAATAATATCTAAAAACAGTTGGAACAGAATCTGCTAAGGAATATTTGCCCCTGAAAGCCTAATTGTTATTAGAGTTCTCAACAAAAGCCACTTACGATATATTACCAGATGGGAACTGCAGGTACCAAGGCAAGCAACTTCTCTGGAGGCAAAGGCTAAAGAATCAGAGGCAAGAAAACCAAAACTGCATCAGTTGTCAGTGGTGAATGCTTCTCAAACTCTTCCATTAACCTACACTCAAGAGCAAATGAGGGGAACTAGGATCTGGAGAAGTAGCTCCAAGAAACCCCACACATGGGATATCAGAGAAGAAGTCCTGTGTTTAGACTCGTCTGATTACTCCAGAAATACCTGCAAAGGCTGACAGTACTTGTCTGTTGACATTTGGACCAGATAATTCTTTGTGATAGTGGTTGTCTTGCGCATTAAAAAACATTTGGCAGCATCTCAGGCTTCTACCCAATAGATACTCATAGCACTTCTCTTCCCTTAGTTTTGACAGTCCAAAATGTTTTAATATCAACATAATCAAATGTCCCCTGGGAAGCAAAAGCAGCCCTGGATGAGAACTATTGATCTATCAGAACAGTTTTAATTCCCTTTGATAACGACCTCCAGAAATAACAGCATGAGGGGGAAGGATTGGACTTAGTGAAAAACAAGAGGCCCTTCAGTGGCCAGTGGAGAGAATGCTGGTGAAACATGAATTGCTTACATAGGACACAGGCACTGAAGGGCATGCACCTCCTGGTGAGATGTTTAGGCTTCTTAAGGATGTGGGATTTCTGTTGTCAGTCTTAAAGTACAACTGAATATTTTAAAGAGTAGACTGGTAGGTGTTAGCTTCTCAACTCCAGAAGTCTAGAGGCCTCCCAGCGCCATCTTTGGCCCTTAGGGCCTTTACACTGATGTTTGTTTGCTTGGAAACTTCCTCCCTGAGGACCAGTTTTCCCACAACCACCCTCTTTTACTCCCTTAGCTCAGCCCCTCTTTTCTTGAGCCATTTCTCTGCATTTTTCCTATCTCAGCCTAAACACCATCTCTGAGTATCCTTCCCTAAGGCTGCAGACTGGCTGGATACCACTTCTCTGAGCTCTACTCTGTGCAGTGGTTACTTGCTTCCTCTGGAATAAAGTTTTCCGAGGGCAGAAATAATATCTAGTTTGGTCATGTGTTCCTATGACCTAGCATGGTGTCTAGCATATGGTCATCATCACAATGTATTGGTTGAATAAATGAGTTATTGCTTAGCAGGAAATAATCATGCCTTAGCTGGGTATGGTGGCTCATGCCTGCAATCCCAGCATTTGGGGAGGCTGAGGCAGGAGGATCACTTGAGGCCAAGAGTTCAAGACCAGCCTGGGCAATGTAGAGAAATCCCAACTCTACAAATAATAATGATAATAATAAAACAGAAAAACTAGCAGCACATGGTGGGTGTGTACCTATTGTATCAGCTATTTGGGAGGTTGAGGCAGGAGGATCACTTGAGCTCAGGAGTTCAAGGCTGCAGTGAGCTATGAAAGGGCCACTGCACTCCAGCCTGGATGACTGAGTAAGACGCTGTCTCTAAAAACCACAACAACAAAACAAAAAACCCACCATGCCTTGAGTCATCATATTTTTATATTTTGTTTAAAAGTTTATTTAGCTACTACTTAGGAGCAAATACTATTATATTAATAAAGTACCATTGAAATCATTGCTATTTCTTGAAACCAAAGAAAGTGGTATCAGATTTAGAGGTGACCTATTTCTTGGTAAGGCATCAAGTAATGAAGCTAAAACGAACAGTATGATGTGAAAGTGGAGGAGGCCTTTCCTCACTTTGAGTGGAATATTGTTCTGTTTGTAATTTTCTAAGGTTGTGGGAATCTGTTTTTCTCATTTTATTCCCTGTTATTTATTGTTCTGCTCTGTAGATTTTTTCATTAGAGGTCTATTTGCGCCTGGTTTGCCCCCAGGGAAAGGATGATGCAGAACTCTCATCTGTCTCTGTTACTATGTATTATTACTTGGGAGACGTCAAGGCAAATGCCATATAAATAAATAAAACACTCCAGAAGCTTCGGCTCTCACTGTTAGGCAGCAGGGAGAAAGTGCAAACGTTTAAGATTTAAGAGATAGACTTAATAAAAAGCTGCCATTTTCCATAGCATGGGAAGAAAAGGATATTTTTCTCAACTGGCTTTGTTATCTGTTTATAGCAATGGCTATTTGGTTTTCATCACAGCCTAAAAGTCTCAATTCTGTGGGGCTTAGTGTCCATATTCCGCTATCAGATAATAAAATTAATCTATTGAAAAGAGTTTATTCTTACATTATAGGTAAGATCAGAGCAATGAACTCCTTTGACCAATGTTACCAAGTAATTTAATAGAGAAAATGCTGGGATTAGAGTTCACATCTCTAGAGTTTGAATTAAAGTGTCTTTTCACTTTGCTATGCGGAGTTACTTTAAATACATGAATTCTTAAAATATATCTGTGACCCAGTAATTCAACTTTTAAGAATGTGTCATTAGAAAATAAAGAAATAGTGTCATGTCTAAAGGTGTTCATCACTATATGATTTATAATAACAAACAATTGGAAATAAACTATAAGTCAAAATATAGGAGCACCATTAAGGAATCTGTTGTCTTTATACTTATAAAATAACATTTAGCGATTAAAAATAATGCTGATGAATACCATTAAAAACACATGCTAAGTGAAACAAGTAGAGCACATGAAAGCAGGAGACAAAATGCTTTAGGTAAGATTTCCCAAATTAATATTTTTTTCTTATAAAGAGTAGGTAAAAAAAAAAAAGCAGATTGAAAAGATATCACCAGAATATTGACCATAAATATTAAGAAGTAGTGAGATTAAAGGACATTTTTTTTTTCTACTTTTTCCACATTATTACCCTGTTTTCGTACTAGACACATCTTTTATCTTGGAAAAATAAATGTGTACAGGAGAATAAACCTATACTGAATTTAATTTAATGCCTTTTGATTATTTAAAAGATGCTTTTGGATTTTCAGAGCCCTTTGAGCAATACTTGTCATTTTATAGTGCTCTGTGTTGACGGAGTCTGAGAAGGGGTGGTCTCTATGCACTTTATTACCACTCCTATGGGTCCTTTCCTTAACATGATCCTGATGTCAGCTTAATTTAATTTGTGTTTTTCTTATAAAAAGAGTGGGAACAAAATAAAATTCCATTCTGGTTATTTATATTCTTTGCTTTTTTTTTTTTTCCAAGTTTTACATAATCAGATTTATAAATAGTATTAAAAATACAAAATGTATGTTACTTACTATATGAAAAAGTTAAAATGCTGTATGATTACTTTAAGTTGGTATTCTTCTTCCTATTTTCCATTCCAGTTTCTAAATTTGGAATGGATTAATTCAAAAAAGCGAAAACTGCTTGTCTCCATAGAGAAGTTGCTGCAGTTGAAAGTTGTTACTCGCTTCTTATTCACTCAACTAAATTGCAGGTAGGTCTTTCATTTAAATACCTATGTAGCAAACCCATTTCTCAAGTGGTTTATCTCTGAAATTTTATGATACATTGGAGAATATCATATTAAAATAAAGCTTTTTTATTTGATAGCCATTATTTTACAATGTGAAATATGAGTCAAACTTTTTGAAATCTAATTTACATTTTTGAGATCAACTTTTAAAGTTGAATTCTCAAGTCTCCCTCTCTTATCTGCTGTTTTCTATACTTTTTAACTTCCTTAGTGCCTGGTTGTGACCCAGGATAGGTTCAAATACAGTTTAATTGTCTGAAAAGGCTCATAAGTGGAAACATAACACGAAGGTGTAATTAACTTTATGCATTTTATTAATTTTATGTGTCATCAGTACCTGGTAAGTGTGCTTTTCTCCCTGACTTCCAGGATCAGAGCAATCACAGATGGTTGAGGTTGCTGAATACTTTCTCCCCTAGATACATAAAGAATATCATGTAATTTGAAGAGTATAGATAAGCCTATATAGACCAGGATAATTACTTTTCTGTACTTTATTTATTTAATGGTTACAAAACAGTTTGATCATATGTTCATCAATTCGCAAAATCCTGGGGAATGAGTCAGTCTTTCTGGCATTTAACAAGTAATAGAAATTTATTTTACATTGAAACTATTAGAGATATGAATAGATACAGTTCTAAATTATGATTCTTGTTTATTCAGCCAGTTATTCAACAAATAAGTATTGCATCCTTACAGTGTGCTGGCACTGTTCTAGGCACTATTCTCAAGAAGATTACAGACTAGTGAGAGAAAGATATGTAAATACATGGCACAAAAATAAATCATCACAGTATATCACAGTATAGTATGACAATCTGAGATGTTATTCAGGTATGTTCAAGGTAGTGGTTACAGGGATACAAAATTGTCAGCATATGTCATCAAGCATTCAAGAATTAAAAAACTGTTACAGAACATATGAACACAATTGCAAACTCACCTTCATTATTAATCTTATTTTTAAATCTAATCTAACCTTAGAATAAAGACATTGCTATTAATAGCTTAAAAAGTGTGAGATTTCATCTTTGGGTGATTTCAAGTTTGAGCAGCAGCCTAAAATTTTATATAATGGAGAAATTAAGTATACTTTCTTTAAACAATTTATAGTTTAGATTTCTTTTCTTTTCTTTGTAGCCTACAAACTTTGCACATAGCTTCACATATGTGTAAGAGTTATTTATGAAAAAAAAATATTTATTGGAAGTTGTGAAGATTGTACACTATTCTTAACTTCCGGTGCCTGCTAAGTTTTTATTTCTTCCAAAGGAACTGCTGTCCACCCAGAGTTCCAAGGTACATGTACATGTGACTCCTTCCCTTACTATAGATGAAATGATTATAGGGAAACATATGCACAGCTGGGCATATTATATTTTCATGCCCTGATTTTGGAATTGGAACACAACAATTTGCTATTTTTTGAGAGAGAGAGTGTCTTGCACTGTTGCCTGGGCTAGAGTGCTGTGGCATTAGGCTAGCTCACAGCAACCTCAGACTCCTGAGCTCAAACAATCCTTCTGCCTCAGCCTCTCGAGTAGCTTCTACAAGCATGTGCCACCATGCCCGGCTAATTTTTTTCTATATATTTTTAGTTGTCCAGCTAATTTCTTTCTATTTTCAGTAGAGATGGGGTCTCACTCTTGCTCAGGCTGGTCTTGAACTCCTGACCTTGAGCGATCTTCCCACCTTGGCCTTCCAGAGTGCTACGATCACAGGGGTGAGCCACCACGCCCAGCCTGGAACACAACAATTTGAGTCTATTGTACGTGCTAGATGTAGGAGGACACGCAAATTTAGTAAGCCAAGGCAGAGACTGCCATTTTGGCACCCACTTTGGGAAAACATGCAGTGAGAGAGAAACAGATAAAACTGGTCTTCAGGAAGAAACAGGATAACAAAGAGGAAAAAGTTAGATTTTCAATTCTAGAGAGCAGTCTTTATTCCTGAAATCTTCCTAGTGCTTTTTACCTGCCCCGGCTATGTTCCTGTCCCTGAGAGTTCAGAGATTACATTGAATCTTTATAGAATTTTTCATTCTTCCTAACTTATTATGAGGGAGACTCTGATTCCTGCCAACTAAGGCAATAGCCTTTGCTAATTTATAGCAAAGTGTAAATGTGTAAATGCCAATTTGACCAGTGGTATTCCATAGGAGACATTAAGCTCTTTGGTTAGATTGTAAGCTTTTAAGGATAGGGCTTTCATTTTACTTTTTATGTATAGTTCAGAGTACAGTGCATGGTATAGAGTAAGTGCTCCATAAAAATGTGTTTAATCAAATGAACCTGGAGGAGTAAATGAAAATTTGGTATATCTGCAACATTCATTTTATGGTTTGCCCAATTATTTATGATATCAATGGATCACTTTCACCTTTTTTTTTTACTTGTTTCTTTACAATTTTAGATGTATAATAATTTTAGAATGGAGAAAAAACATCAAGTATTTTGGCAAATGAACTGTAGCTAAAGATACAAATCTGACAATTATTAAGTACTGGCTTGATACTTGGCTAGAGCATCAGCCAAATGGCAGCTTACTAGCCTTTAATGCTTTGAGGACATATGGTTATTAATGATTCTTTCTGTGTTCATTGTTGCTTTCCATTTCTGCTTTTTTTTCCCCAGATGATTGGATTGGAGAAACTTCCAGATGACTGTACAACAGACTCATGGCAGCCTGAGTCTAAAATGTTGATGTCATGTAAATCATAGAAGAAGGAAAACTTGTGTTCTCATTTACCTTCCAATTCAAAGACATTGATAAGGGTTCTGAAAAACAATGTCGGCTACTGTAGTGTTGGTGGCCTTTCCCTGCATTGCAGCTTTTCATAGAAGCCTCAGTTGAAGTTGTCGCAGATCAAACAAACTAAATGAATTAGCTTTTCTTTCTCACAGAGTGAGAGGTCTTTATCTTCCATAGAAAATTCAGTTAGTAACAACCAGAATGGAAAGTTCTGCAGCTTTACTGTTCCCATACCCTTTTTTTCTGGTTGAGTAGATCATGATTGTGACCATTTGTCTGGTTTCACTTTGGTCCAGGTCTTTTGTGAATTGTGCTGCACTGTTTTCTACAAATACTGACTTTTCTGCAGCTAGGGATAGAAATAGTGGCTACAAGGAAGGGATGGGAAGTAGACAAGGTCAGGGTGAGGGGATGATATTGACTATAGAAACGTAAAAAAATCACTAGAGAAGGGCAATGAAGATTAATAGAGGAATGCTTTGCAATTAAGCAATCATTTTTCCCCTTTTATTCTGCTGTCAAATAGTTATTGTTATCATGTACCTTTAAACATTTGTATGTTTTGATAAGTAGGCAGGAAAGGATGCACTAACAATTATATAGTAATCTTGGACAAGGTAAAAGATGTCTGTTAACTTGTACTTAATGAATTCTGAGTCATTTTGTCTGTGTGACAAAAATCAAAGACAAAAATTTGGACCTGCCAGAAACAATAGTGCCTATATAATAATTATTAATTGTTATTAATATTTATTTCAATTTCATTTTATCTAAACATCCCATTTCATTTAGTATATGAGAAATAAGAGTCTTCAAAGTGAAATAATATTGAGGTCAATTGAAAGTTAATGGCTACACCCACTGCTTCACTTGATCAGCCTTTAAAAAATTAAAAATTAAAAAATTTTAAAAAAGAAAGAAAGTTAATGGCTAAACTGGGAGCGGAGACCCTTTTCATGTTGGAAGGCCACATTAATTTAGCTACAATCAAATAAGGTTGTATTCAAGAAACTGCAATCAGATATACTTAAAAATGTACATCATTTTATCAAAATATAACTACTGTGTACTTAATAATTTCAAAAATAAAAACTATTTGTTAAATTTAAAGTTAACTAACGTTTTAATGACTTGTGCCTGCTTTTTGAATATTTGGTTGCAGCACAGAAGTCCACAGTTTCAGCTGATCCTCTAGATGGGTATCAGTCATTTGTGACCTTCAGGGCATCTTAAGTTAAGTAGGAGAATGTAGATTGGCAGCAATAAGTGGCTGAACAGCAAGAAACCATTTTTCGGTCATATTGCCGAAGACGTGGGTATTTTAGTACATTTTTCTGCTTTCAGTTGGATCTTTCTGAGCATCAATGATTTTAAAATGTCATCTATAGAGAGCTCAATCAATTCCATCTGCAGTTCTTTAGGTGCCTTGGTGATATCAACTAGGTGAGACTGAAATGCTAATTTGAGTGTGATGTCATGATTCTCAAAGTCAGTGAAACTTTCATTGTATTCTCCAATTAATAGATTCATAACAGCTGCATATTCTTCAAATGATTTACATATATCATCTCGCTCATCAGTGACCTTTGCTAACTGGGGAAAATGTTCATTTGAAATTTCATTTTGATGAAGTGTTTTGAAAAAAGATAGCTGTTTTTGAAATGCTTGGATTTTTTGCCAGGTATCATATAGAGACTTAGTTTTACCTTACAAAGAAATATTCAAGTCATTTTGATTTGATGTGATATCACATAGAAATGCTGCATTCCTATAAAAATCTTCTTTCAATACTTCACATTGCTGATTCTCTTCTTCATGAAATTTTATTATCTGTTCTCACAGAGATAAAAGTTTGGCTAACACCTGTCCCTGGGATAGCCAATGCATTTAAGAATGATATGGCAAATCCACACTGAATACTTAATGGTTGAATTTTAGCATATTAGGAAACCATGCCTTATTTTGTTTGCAGCAACATAATTAACAATACTTACAACTTGTTACAAAGTATCACTTAAAATAGTAGCTTTAGCACAGAGATTTTGCTGATGCAAGATACAGTGAAAAGAAATTAGAGCATCTGAACCTGTTAATACTTTATCTGTTCAATAAACTCCTTCTTCATGTTTTCCTGTCATGGAAGGTACATGATCTGTCCATACATAACACTCACTAAATTTACCAAATTCAGTCCAACTTCATATAATTTCTACATCACTGAATGGCTTCCCTTTTTTCTAGAGTATATAAGCTACTTTATAAGTTGCTTCAGTGGCATTATTTCCAGGTCTTATTCCTGCTTGAAAGAACTGTTTTTGTTGCTTTTCATCTTTTAATTTCTGCAATACAACCTTTTATGCCTATCCCTCCAATTTAAAATGCTGGTGGTCCTTATGAGTATTATAATGCTGATGGGCATTTAATTTCTTCAGTGTTGATATTGCAGAATCACAAAGCAAGCAAATCATCTTATCTTTAGCAGAAATGAGATAATATTGCAGTTCCCAATCCTTATTAAAAAATCTGTTTTCTTCTTTCAGCATTTTCTTGGTCTTCTTTGACACGATGAATTAAAAAAATACTGAATTAAAAAATACTGTCAGGCTATGCAACTAATCACAAATTTCACTTTAGACAGAGACACAGCACACTGTTGTCAAAAGTTGATAACAGACTGGCATACTTGACCCCCATAAACTCTCACCAACCAGCCTTGTGTGGTAGTGGTGCCAGTTAGGCATGGGAAGTTAGAACTAAATCATGAGCATAGCTTACTAATGTCTTAATTGTGCCAGTCAATCTAGGAAGATTATTTCATTGCATTTTATTTTATTCTTTGGTATTTTAAAAAGTTCCTTTGAAAACTAAAATAAAAATATAAAAGATGAACAAAATGTATTAAAAAAAAATAAAAGGATTTGTTCTGTAAAATTTAGATTGAGTCAAAAGGCTACACTTAAAGACCTAGAAGGCCACATGTGGCGTTAAGGCCATAGGTTTCCCACCCCTGGGCTAAACCCACATCTGAGTAAGTGCCCCCCTCAGTATATAACACTAATATTTTCTCAGATTTTTTTGAGGTTTGCTGGCAGATGATAACTATACATAATATATTTGTGTATCTGTTTGAATTTGTAACACTAATTATCCTTGAGTCTTGAAATTGGCTCCATTAAGAATTAATTCATTGCACTGAAATCAATCCATGAATTAATTCTTCTAGTTGTTATGCTTGTCCCTGTTGGACACTTTGGTTTCTAAAAGAAGAAATGTGGTTGAAAATAAATTTGTGAGAGTTTGTGAAAACAATTTCGTGGGAAGTTGAATAATAAATGATTGGAAAATTCTGAATGTACTCTTTTCTTTTAAATGTTTCATGTCATTATAAATAAGTTTTAAGATTTTTGGTTAAAGAAACTACACATGGGAATAAATATTTAGAAAATAGTGTGAACTAACTTGAAATTTTTGTAAGAATATCTGTTTTAAACAAATGAGATTAACATTCATCACAGGCAAACACTATAGTGGATATTTTAAAAACTATTGAATATGTAAAGAATAATTACTAGGATATCACATAGATTCCCTAAGACTTTTAGAAGAAGTCATATCAGACTAAATTCATGTCCATTTTTCATTTTCCTGATTGAATGATCAGGAATATGTATGTCGCAGATATATGACAAATATGTACAGGCATTAGCAAGACATTTAACAAGTTTTCCTATGAGATTTTAATAAAAGAGATTGGAAAATATAGACTAGATCTAAAACAAAAATGTAAAAGAGCTGAATGATTTTATTCAAAGGATATTCATATAATAGTAATCTAGTAGCTTAGCTATCATTATTGAGCACTTACTACATGCTGGCATTGTATCAAACATATGTATTATCTCATTTAATAATATAATCTATAAGAGATATATTGCCATTTTACAGATAAGGAAAATGTGGATTAACTACTAAGTTAACTTTGTCCATGTCACTCAACAAGTAAAAAGAGATGCCAGTATATGAACAAAAGTTGTTTGACTCCTAGGCCATACTTTCTGCCTATGGATTAATATCATGTTAGCAGAATATGCCTAGTGTTGACCTTGGCTCTGCTTAGTTCACTTGAGCTACTTCCTTGAATAAAATATGGAGGGCATGCCCCAATGATTTATTGCATAATCATATAATTTTTATTTAACCTACTGGTATGGAATTATGGATCATTTGTATTACTGATGGATTGGCTTAATTTATTCTATTAATAACATTTTATTGGGCACTCATACTTTGAGTGACAGAATCAAGATCTACAATTATATTGAAAATTGCTATTATTAGGTTGAAATGAACAAGTTGAAATTTAATGAAGATAAATGTTAGATCTGGCCCTTGGGTCTAAGAAAGCAATGTGAAAACACGTGAGAGAAGCAATACATGTGGTTTAGCATAAGGAAAAAAACACTTTTGAGGATTTGGCTTATGCTAATCTCTAAGAGGGGCAGCACTTTGGTATTGGTGCTCAGAGAACACCAATAAACTTGTTAACAGAAGGATAGAACAAAGAAGGGAACTGTGCCAGACTGTTTACATTGATCAGAACACTTCTGGAGTATCATTTTAAGTTCTAGGTGCCATAAAGTATACAAATATGCATTGATATGAGATTGCTAAGAATTAAATCATGTCATAGAGAAATGAAACAAAAAATGTTGGTGGGGGGCAGGGGAATAGCATCTTAGTTATCTTTAAATAGTAAAAGATTTTCCAAGTGGAATGCAACCAAGGATTGATATACAAAGTATAGGGTTAGTGTGAATGGATGATTACTAAAGCAAAGTATTTTGTTTTAACATGAAGACTTTTTTTTTTTTTTTCTGAGACAGGGTCCCTCTCTGTCACCCAGGCTGGAGTGCAGTGGTATGATCATAGCTTACTGCAGCCTTGAATTCCCAGGCTCAAGTGATCCTTCTGCCTCAGCCTTCTGAGTAGCTGGGACTATAGGTGTGTGTCCCCTTGCCTGGCTAATTTTTTTAAAATTTATTTTGAAGAGACAAGAGTCTTTCTATGTTGCCCAGGCTGTTCTTGAACTCCTAGCTGCAAGCGACCCTCTAGTCTCAGCCTCTTAAAGTGCTGGGATTACAGTCATGAACTATCATGCCTGGCCAGAGGAAGATATTTTTAATAGACAGAATTATTTCAGGATGACAAGGGCTGCCTCATGAGGAGGTGAGTGTTTAGCCCTAGAGGCATTCAAGAAGATGGAGAACAAGCAAATTCAGAAATTTGGTAAGAAAATTCAAGATATCTCATCTCTGAGAAAACTCTAAATTACATGGTAAATCTTCCACTGTGGATAGGGAGGGTGAAAGGTGACAATAATTTTGCAGACAGTCTCAAAGGCAGCAAGGGCAGACTCACTTCCATGGGCATTTTTAAGCTGTTCAGCCTACTTAATTTGCTGGTATAAAATATTTGCATATTTAAAAAATTTTTTGAAATAACTATAGCCTTCTCTAATGAATAATTTCCCAGATGTTGTGCAAATTAAATAGCAAAAAAAAAGTATTTGATATGGTAAAGCATATTGAAAAATATGACCCTATGTCATTGCTCTCCCAGTTCCTATATTGTCCCCTTCTTCTTCTTTATTTATTTTATTTTTTTTGTTTAACTATAATGAATCAGTAACACCATCTGCAGAGGAACTTGTGGGAACCATAGCCGTCTTTCCTTTTATTTATTAGCCGCATAGCCTTTGGTATATCAAGTCCACTGAAGTCCATGAAAGTAGTGTCTTTATGGTATTTTGAATAAGCATGGTTGTGCTCCAGTGTGGTTTGGTTCTTTCTCCTCTTTGGGGAGTACACAGTCCAGCCATGCTTTGGAGAAAAGAATCAAAAAGCTGTTTGTCTTTTGACTTTTTGACTTCTCCTTATCCTTTTCCAGTCACAATCGTCTCCCTCCTTCCAGACCCTGGGACTCGAATGTGTAATTACGGCCTGTTGTCTGCAGAGCAATTATAGCCTAATTTGACTGGTTGCACAGCAGGATGACAAAAGTGCTGGCTGTCAGGCGAGGTCAGAGATCAGCCATTGCCCCATGGACTGCAGGCAGCGGCTGGGTCAGGACTCTGTGGAAGGCTCTTCTCGGCTGTGGGACAGGTCTGCAGCTGTCTGGGGGCCTCTTCAGATGTCTCTTTGGATGAAACATGGACTGTTTAAGGACACGATATCCCAGCCTGCATTTTGGCTTCTTGCCTTCTTATCAAAGATGGGTGAATTGCTCTGAAGTAAACAGAGCTATTTCTTGTGCTTTCTGTATACATTTCAAGTGGAATTTTTTCATAAGCCAGCATTAAAATATTATGTCAATTTTTCTTTATACACTTAAGATTATAATATAGTATTTAAAAAGAATGTTAAAATAGAATGCTACATCAGGATGGAAACTACTGTGTGTTAAATAGCAAAATAACTTGGAGGCAAACAAATGAATTGTATTCACAGATGGAAAGTCCTATAGATGCCGTAAATAAAGGATCATGAAATTAGAAAGTAAAAATGAAAATGCACATTGTATATCAGTTAACCTAATCCTATAGGTAATAAACAAATATTCCTTAAATAATTTCTCTTATGTTTTGTCTAGTCTACATTTAAGTTTCGGATGGGATGCAAATTCAGATGCATTTCTTGAGAGAGGACCTTTCACTGTTATTGAAAGATTCTTCAATCTCATTATCAAATATTTAACATAATTGATTTTCTCCAAACTTTAGGCAGACCTACTGATCTAACTCATGGTAATTTTAATGAATGAAACAAATATAAAGTGTAATTGAGAGAAAATGCTAATCTAAGTGATAGTGCCAATATTCCAGAAATCAGGAGTAAAATACAAGCCGGCCTTCAGAAAATTGGTTCATCTAAAAAAAGATGACATATAGTAAAGGTCAATATAAGGTGGATGGGGACAAAAAAGTTTAAACAAGAATCTCATTGGGGAAAATAACCTAATAAATTCTGTTGTCAATGTAGATAATAGGAAGTATGACTAAAATGCTATTATGAAATATGCCAGTGTGATATTGTGATTTACCAAATATGTTAGATGCCAGGAAGGCTCCTTAATGGCTCTATTCTATAGAAGGAGACTATTGTGTTTCATTTCTACTACTCTATTTCATTATTTATTCATGTTGGGAAGGCGTAGTACACTTACTTAGAATTCAGGGCAGGATTTTAAACCCTAGAAAGCCAGGTGGCAATCAGAGAAAAGTCATTTTTAGATTACCAGGATGAGGTAAAAAATATAGAAATTAGGAAGTAGTTTAATACTGAGTAAGCAAACAGGAAGCGAGAGCAGCAAGAAACACAGGCAAGCTGAGTTAGGTTGTCATGGCAGAGACAGAGACAGAGGAAATGAGAATCAGCCTGTCAAACCAAGTGTTGGCACCATAAGTAACAGTGGGTGTCGGGGGAGCCTATAGTCCTGTCCTCTGCCTGCAACAGGGGGATTTAAGATACATGTCAACTTCTCACAATCCAGTTGTATGGCCTCCTTCACCCAATCCTTTGGGTTAATGCCAGAAGAATTAGCACCATTTCCATCATAACAAAAGTATCCTTTACCGAGGGCTTGCTATGTGCTGGATCATAGTATAGGGATTCACTCACTCATTTCTTCATTCATTCCTTTATTCCATAAATAACTATTGAGCTTACAATGTGCCAGTTACTGTGATCATTACTAGGAAACAATATTTAGTAAAAAGAAACATGGTCCTTGCTCTCACAGTAAGACAGATATTAGTCATATAGTGTACATAACTTAAATAAATATATGTATAATTAAAAATGTGTAAGTATTATTAACAATAGAAAAGGGAACAGAAATAGATAAGGGATAAAATTTCATTGAATGCTCATAAATTTGCAGAACTCTCATTTTACCTATGAATAGACAGAGGTTAATTCCTAAAATCACATACCTACAAGAGTAACTCTTTTGTGTTGTCTTCCCAGTCACACACTCATTGAAACAAGGCTCATACAACTGTAGAACTGAAATGGAAACTTAGATTCTACATAAATTAATTAATTTACTTACCCAAACAATATTTGTTGAGTGGAAGTTCTAGGCACAGGAGATATAATAGAAAAAGGCCCTCTTTTAATAACGCTGACATTTTAATGGATGAAAACAGTAATAGATGCACAAACTAGCTATCTAAATATCAGTGATAAAAAGATAGTGGAGAAACAAACAAGTCATGTGATAGGCAAAGATGAAATGGCTCTTTTGTTAGGTGGTACCAGGAAAGGCCTCCCTGAATGCAGAATAACAAGAAAAAGCTGCCTCCTCAGAAGGCAAAGGAAAGAGACTTTCAGGCAAAGGGGAGTGTTGGGACAAAGGCCCTGGGCTGGGAACAGTGTGGCTTATTTGAGGGACAGAAAGAACCTCAGGGTGGTTGCAATGTTAAGTAGAATGGTACAGGAGTTCATCAGGGTCTAGATTACAAAGAACTTTGTAGGTCGGGGGTTTAGATTTTATTCCATGATTAAGTTTTGGGAATGTTGTTAAAAGGGACAGGTGAAGAAGACAGGACATGATTTCAGTTTTAAATGATCACTCTGACTGCTGTGAAGAGGGTGGATGGAAGGAGGCAACAATGGATAAGTGAGCCATCAGCAGGCTCTCTCATATGCCTCCCAGGGCAGAGGTGACGGTGGCACTGACTCGATGGCAATAGCGGAATTGGAAAGAAGTGAATGTTCTAAAGACCTCTTTATTAAGAAAAATGTCAAATATATACACATTTAGAAAAGATGGTAAAATCAAATCAGATCTACCCATCACCCACATTCAAACATTATCAACTCATTGCCAGTTTCTTCTATACCTCACCAACTTCTTCAGATTATTTTGTAGCAAATTTAAGATATTCTGCGATTTTGCCTGTAAATTCACAATATTAATCTCTAATAGAAAAGGATTTATATTTTGAACACAATATTGATTTATACCTAAAAGAGAACAATAATCTCTGAAGTTATCAAATATCTCTGTAAACGTTCAAGTTTCTTTGTCTTAGGAGCTTTTTCAATGATTTGAGTGAAGGTCCTTACTTTCACGTATTGCATTTGATTTATGTGTTGTTTATGTCTCTTGTTCTGTTATTTTCCTTTTAGCTTATTCATTGAAGAATTTAAGTGGTGTCATTAAGAGTGTTCATCACTTTGGATTTTCCTCATTGCATCATATTGATGTCATTTTTATGTGTTCCTCTAACCCCCATAAATTGGTAGTTAGAGCCAGGAGTTTAATTGGATTCAGATTTTTTTCTTTTTTTCTTTCCTTTGGCAAGTATCCTTCCATCAGAGGGCATAAAATTTCTGATTGTCTCTTTTTGTGATGTTAGCAATCGGTCATAATTATCACTTGGATCTCTTAATTAGTAGTTGCAAAATAGTGATAATGTAATTCTATTATTCAGAAATAGGTGATTTTGAAATATATTTTAGAGATAATGTGGATAAGACTTGCTGATGGAATTTTGATGAGAATGAGAGAAAGAGAAAAATTAGGAATAACTCCTATGCTTATAGCTTGAGAAATTAGGTTGATGGAATTTTCAATTAATAACTTGGGGAAGGCTGGGAGAGCAGCTTCAGGGTGTGTGGAAAATGAAGAGAGAAAGACTATATATTGTCTAAATATTCCAATGGATGTTTCAAAAAGGCAGTCTAGAATTCAGAAAAGGGATCGGAACTGTATAGTGTAGTCGGAGTGTATACTGGTATTTAAAAGTGGGGGTCTGATTATGTAGGAGGAGGTGTGCAGGACAAGAAAAGAAATTTTGAGGCTTTTAAATGAATTTTCAGCAATTGCTCCCCAAGGAGGACCATGTGGAGAATTGAACAGAAAGACCAACTTGTCTCAGGAAGCCTCTCTGTGTTCGAAAATACAAATTGTAGAGAAGGATGTCCCTTTTGCACCACAGAGGAGAAACATGATGCTTGTTCAGGAACAAGAAGTGCTAACCCACAGAAGGCACACACACCTGTGGCTTGGACATCAGGGAGATTTTCTTGTTTTTTCAGCAAGGTAATGAGAATTAGAAAGCACTACTGTGAAAGGAGTTACAAACCCATCTCTACTGTATTAGGCAGAATTCTAACATTGTTCCCATGACTTCTGTCACCTGGTGTGACTCCTGCAATTAAGTTATGTTATCTGACAAAAGGCATTTTGCAGATGTAAGTAAGTAGGGTTACTGACCAGTTGATCTTAAAATAGCCGAGATTACTGCGTGTGTCTATGCTGAGCACATGAGCCTTTTTTAAGAGCAAAGAGTTTTCTCCTGGTGGCAGAGAGTGGGTAACAGAGATTCTAAGTGTGAGAAGGAATTGATGCAGTGTTGCTGGTTTGAAGATGGGGGGGGCAGATGGCAAAGAATACTGGCCACCAAGGAAAGGGGGACACCAGTCCTCCAAGCACAAGGGACTGAATGCTGCCGACACTGTGAATGAACTGGGAAGGGTGTCCTTCTCCAGAGCCTCCAAGTAAGGGGCTGCCTGATAACAACCAGCCTGATACCTTGATTTTGGGCTTGTGAGTCTCCAAGCAGAGAACTCAGTTGAACCTGCTTGGACTTCTGCCCTACAGAACTGTGAAGAAGTGAGTGAATGGTGAGCTGATACATATGTGGCAATTTGTTACTCACTATTAGAAAACTAATACTCCCATGACATGCCAGGTACTGTGATAGGCAGCTAGGAGGTATACAAAGATGACTATAGCTGAACCCTGCTTTCAGTCATCCATCCATCCAACCAAGGCCACCCTGGGCCCTGTCTTGAGAGTTTAACCAGATCTTTTCTTCTTGTGAAAACAAGTAGCACACCCCCAGTTCCTTCTGCGTCTCTTCCCCTGCAGTGAAAGAATACACACACCTGGAAACTACACAACTAGCTGACTTAAATTGGTTATCTGTATTAATACAGAATCATTGACAACTTAACTTGGAATGTAGTATGGTGAACAATATCTAACATTTGCTCAAATTCATTATTATAAGAAAAGTATCCAAAGTCTACAATTAGCACAAATTAAGTACAATATCGTGCAGATATGATACCTCAATGTTCTCTTCTTAATGTATTACATAAATATAAGCATGAGCTGAGAAGATCTACCTGCCTGGGTCTTGATTACTATTTAATTGAGGGTGTTGCACCTGGGTTATGGTAATGTTCTTGTGAGCACTATTTTAAGTCAGTGAATGTGTGGCTTTAAATCACTTTTAAAGAGCCAATGCAGAATGAGTCCTTGTGGGTCAGATGTGTTTCCTGGCGACAGCAGATACTTGGCTTGTATTCTTTCATCCATTCAGCCAGCCTATGTCTCTAGTGGGACTTCAAGCTGTTTGTGTTTATTGAAAGAATTGATAGGTGGAATGAATTTCTGTTCATCCTATTGAGTAGAACCTTATTGCTTTGTTTTACATCTTGAGCCATTATTTTATGTGGGCTCTGAACTTTAGCTTTTGGGTGACTTTATACTGGTGGATTCCTATTGTGCTGATTGATGTATAATGCAGATCTGAGTGCTTCCTGCAGGGTAGGTCTGGTCTTGACATATTCTCTGTGTTTGCTTGTCTGAAAAAGTCACTTTATCAAAAAGTCACTTGTACTAGAATGTTTATTGCAGCATAATTCACAATTGTAAAGATGTGGAATTAACCCAAGTGTCCCTCAGTTCATAAGGGGATTAATAAAATATGGTATATGTACACCATAGAGTACTACTCAGCCATAAAAAATGAATTAATACCTTTTGTAACAGCCCGGATGGAACTGGAGATCATCCTTCTAAGTGAAGTACTACAAGAATGGAAAAACAAACACCACATGTACTCACTATTAAATTGGTACTAATTGAGCAACACTCATGTGAACATATGGTAGTAAAATTCAACAGAAATCAAGCAGGTGGGAGGAGGAAGAGGGGATAGGTAAATTCACACCTAAGAGATATAATGTACACTAGCTGGGTGATGGGTCCATTTATAACTTTCACTCAAGCAATACAGAAGCAATCCATGTAACCAAAACATTTGTACCCCCATAATATTCTGAAATAAAAAAAATTTAAAAAAGTAGTTTTATCTGTTGTTTATGCCATAGCACATAGTTAAATTTCAATCTACTTTAATATGTATTTAGTCCCCAAACCAAACATAATATAATAAGCAATTAAACAAAATTTATAGTCTACAAGCAATGCTTTCTTTTTACATAATTAATTTAAAATAAATCAATAAGCATGTATCACTAAAATGGAACAAATCTAGAATTTTCTTTAACTATATTGAATGTTATGGAAAGTTATAAAATAAGCTGTATAATAAATCTTTAATAATAAAGTAATCTACAAGGAAATATTTTGTTTCTTTACTAAAGGCCACTTCTTTGTCATATATCACTGCAAATATGAAATAATTTGTAAAACTTTTAAGGGAATTAACAAGATTGTATATTATTGTGAAAGGGGTTTAAGAATCAGAAAGATTAAAGTGTGTTAGTTTGATAAATTTACATATATTTTACTTGATAAGAATATTAATGGATAAAAATTAACAGTAATATTTTACCATTACTTAATTTTCCTTTGGGTTTTTAAAAATTTATTATTTTATTTTATTTTTAGAGAGAGGGTCTCACTCTGTCACCCAGGCTGGGGTGCAGTGGTGCAATCATAGCTCACTGTAACCTAGAACTCCTGGCCTCAAATGATCCTGCTGCCTTGGCCTCCCAAAGTGCTGGGATTGTAGGCATGAGCCACCACACCTGGCTCCTTTGGGCTTTATTTCCTGATTCATTTGAGCCTTCTCTGAAAGGGGAGGTATTTCTTTAACACGATTTACAATATAAACTAAATTATTTGTGGTCTAGTCAGTTTATATCATATTTATAATATAAACTAAACTGTTTGTGTTCAGATAAGTAACCACTGAAGTAGCAATTATAACGCAGCGTGATGTACACCACTATAGAGAGAGAAAAGAGTGATAAGGAAACATAGACTGGCAGAAACAGCTAGACCAGACTGAAGAGATTAGCAAATCTTCCTGAAAAAAGAAAAAAAAAATGGCTATCCTAAAGCCCAGGTGATGATGAAGAGTTGGCTAGG